CTAACACATTCTAGCGGCTACCGGCAAATGGACGAACACGCGGCGAAATTTTGTTGATGATTATCTTAAAAATGGAGGTTCTATTTTATTTCCTGTTTAGTCCTGAATAATGGCCTAAATAATGGTTCCTTCATAGGAAATTGGAGAAGCTCGATATGTTTTGAGAGAAACTTAAAACCCAGATCAGAGACGATTGTCTCGCAATTTAAATAAATTAGAACTCTTACTTTCGATTCTGCTCACTGTTTTGTTTCCAAAAACGCCTCTGTTGACCAAAGTTCAGTGAATTAGGATGGAAGATGAAGCTAAAACCATTTTTCTTGTTCGTTTCCTTTTTGTAAGAAAAAAATCTTTTATAGCTCGTTTCAACGGGAAATCCCCTGCTCTAAACCGCTCACTGCTTTTTTTCTTCCATAACCGCCTCTATTGACCAAAGTTCAGTTATTAGCATGGAAGGTGTAGCTCAAATTATTATTTTTTTTTTTTTTTGACAAAGAAAAACCATTAAAAATCAATTAAACGGGAAATTCCCTGCTGCAGATTTGAACAAAATTTGACACCTCTTGTCTTCATTACATAATCAACTTTATTTTCTTTTCCTCTGCTTCTACTTCGTGTGAAAGAAGTAGACTTCATCGGGTGTTATTAAACTGCGCATCAGCAGACCGCGGAACCTCCGGAACCTCTGTGAATATGGAAATAAGTTCACGCTGCGCATTGGGTGAAATATAAGGATTTGCATGGAAATGAACATTCGCGCCCTCAATCTTTGAAATGTCTGGTCTAGTTTTGAACAAAGATAAATTGACCCCACTCGAGAACTTGTGTTTTTTTTTTTGCATCGTGTGAACTGTTTGAGCTGATTTAGGGAAATCTAGCTCGGTTTTAGTTCAGCTGCTCCTTTACGTAATCTTTTACAAGAGATGTCTGTGAGTAACGCCAACCAAACGAATCCATTGGAAGCAAAACGCTGTGAGTTCGCAAATCCGGACGCCCCGATCACCCCCGATCTACAGGCATGAAACCGAAGTCACGCGTAATTGTGTTCATCATTTATTTAAAAAAATCCAAACGCCTATAGTACTAAACATGAGTACGAAAATACGTATTAGAAAGCGAGAACTTACAAATAAACTCAAAATAAATATAGCTTTACAGGCAAACAACGACGACGCTGCTTCTTAAAAAGTGGATATAAAATTGATCCACAGTACTAAATTTATACACAGAACCTGAAAAATTACTTGAGAGTCGATAATGTTACTTTACGCTCGTGTTCCTCATGCCAGCGTCACTGTACAATGAAATGGAATTAAAGGCCGCCAGTTCTAACTTAAAGGTTTGCTGAGAGCCTTCGGATGAGGATGTTACTCGGATACCGTTAGAGCTTTCAAATTATGGTTCAATTATTAACACCCGGGGTAGGTGGCTGCTAATTGCTCCTTATAACATTACACACCCCTACTCGGTGAATATCGCCACAATTAAAGTTGGACGTCAAGGGCAATGAAGACATATTTTTTTTAAAGCGTGATATACAAATAACTAAGGCGTAGTCGATGACAACCCATGTCTCTAATACACAGTTATGTAACACTGCATTTAGACGTCAATTTGCTTCAAAACAGGAGATTGACGACCTAACAAATAGTTTCATCTGAATAAGAGAACGCTTAGAAGTTCTTATAAAAAAAATGATAACATTATTTTAGCAAAGCACGTTATAAAAGAGGAAGGTGATAAAAAGTTCGTCATGCTCAAAATTTTCA